ATGCAGATTCTCAGTGTCCTACCCCCAGACATTCTGAGTCAGTGGGTCTGGGTGGAGCCCTGGAATCTGCATTTTAACATCACTACAGGAGATTCCAATACAGGTAGGTGGTCTTTAGACCATGCTTTTCAAAACATTCACCCATCACTTGTTAAGAAAACTTAGTATTTTTCACATAGAAGTGAATATCCTAAGGAGTACAGAAGTTAGAATTGAAAGTGATCTCTTCCTCTGGTGACTCTTCCCCCAATATACACATGCATGCACACACAAGTTATGTCTTTATAAACATCCATGTGTTACATGCTTTATAATGTGGTTCCTGTGCACTCACCTTGTCTTCTTTCTCAATGAGATCCAAGTCTTTATCTAGCCAACGTTGTAAAATAAAAGTACATGTGATAGAAACCAAAGCATATGATTCAAATTTTACTTTGGCTTAGGAATCAGTCTTTCTCTGCCAGCTGTGTACGTTTCTGATCATTCCCCCATCCACACCCCAAAGCTCAGATGTGGACAAGCCGCTGCAATACTGCCTGAAGTCTAGGGAGGGGCTGCTTTATTTTAAAATATGTATATACATCACTTCTGGTAGCTTTCTATGCCTTTCCCAGAACCTCTGATGAGCCCTTTCCTCTGTGAATATTTAAATGGAAAGAATGCCTGAAAAAGCAGCACAAGTGGTTCAGATAAACATTCCAGTGGGTTTTCCACATTACATAAATTATTGAGTGTGATGTGAGGGGACCCATGAGGTATAGTGGCAGCTCGATGCTACCCCCTGGTGGAAAGATACTCCATGGCATCCCAAGCCCACCCCCGCAAACCTCTGGCTCTTACATTCAGCCTACACAGGGGTGCCTCTGTGTGTCCGCAGCAGCACCAAACACAATACACCTACAAATATTTGCTGGTGTGGGTGGCAGAACCAAAAATACATAATTTAAATTTTACTTACTTCTGCCCAACTGAGGATCACTGGTTCTTCCAACTGTGCAATATCGTAACTTTTGTAGCACAGAGCTTTTGAACCTAATCTTAATGCACAGATGAATCAAAAGGCAAATGTGGAAGACCATCCAAACTCAAAGCATAATCCTAGTAGCATGAAATAAATATGCCTGAATTACCACTGGTAAAACTCCTTGAGAAAGGTCACTGCACCCACCAACAGGGACATTCACCCCTGCCTAGAACTGGAACCCTCAGAACAGGTCAGGGCTAGCTTGAAAGTGACCGTGTCCCAGAGGAACAACTTGGATGATTTAGCCTGAAGAACAGAGGGCTAAAAGAGAACCGAGTAATTGTTTACCAGTCTGCAGGATGTTCACATAGGGCTCCAGGTGCTCCGTGCCCACTGAGACTGGAGGAAGAAATAATTTGGGGTGGCAGTAGCAGGGGGATGACAAAAGCTCTTTCGTTAAAGATAAAGAACTTTCCGAGAAGTGCCAGAATCTTCTACCTGGATTCTTCTTCTTTAGGGGTCACTAGAAACAAATCATCTTTAGTCAGAAATAAATGTGGCCCTGCCCAAGGCAGGGGAAGGGGAACACACTTGATGGCATTTCGTGATCCCTTCTAGCCCAAGTAGAGGCTCACTTAACAGTCCCTATGAATAGGAAAGATGGGAAAAGTGTGAAGAAAAGCAAAAGAGGCTCACTTAACAGTCCCTATGAATAGGAAAGATGGGAAAGTGTGAAGAAAAGCAAAAACCAATCTACTTGTAAGACTTGGACAAAAATAACCTCATTCATGCATACAACTATCACAGGGACTGTGTACACCTCTGGAATTTTAAGTTCCCTGGTGACAGAAGAAGCCTTTAATGGAAGCTGCATGCTGGGCTAATGGTCAGGCCCTGAGTGAAAATTCTGAGATCAATAGGCCTAAATTCAGGAAATCAAGACTGCACCTAAAGCTTAACTGTCTGACAAGAACAGCAAATACATACTGTCCTTTCTTCTCCTTCCTACCAGGCATTTAATTGGTTCACACCCCACTTTTCCTAGAAGTTAAATGCCATCATTACGTGCAACCTTTGGGAAGATCAGAGCACAGAAAGGCGACAAATCATTCATGAAGAATCCTATGAAAGATGGCTTCAGCCACTTCATTATAATTAGCTACATTTTCAAAGAACGTGACTGAGGTCCACTTATAAGTTGAGTCTCTTGTATATTTAAGAGAAGTCTCTGCCTTACTGGGATTACTAACTGGATCAAACCTCCCTAATTCAGAGTTACAGACATTTTCTTTTAGGGGAAAGTTCGAATTATACATTTTTAAAATGCAAATTAATTCTTTCCTACAACAATGCTTATTGCCCTGGGCATTGCAGTGAAACTTCCATTCAGGAGATTTCTCCTGCGTTACTGGGCTTTTATGAAATGAAAAAGGCCAAGTAAAGTATCAGGGAAATTAAGTAAGCCTTAAGAAAACAAACCAGACAAAAAAGTCATACCTTAAATAAAAACTTTCATGTTTAATAGGGATTAGCCTGTTTCCCATACTTTCTACATGTCTAGTCTAGACAAAAGTCATGGAAGAAAAAATGATGCTGAGGGACAGCCAAAATCCCAGTCGGCAAAAGGCTGGAAGGACAAGCCATGCATATCAGAAGAATTTTCAGCAAGGGCTGAAACTCAGCAGGGTTAGTCAGCTACCCTGGAGTTAATGAGAACATCCCCTCTGCATTTCTCCTAGAACTGAAAATGAGCTCACTGTACTGTTAGTTCTATCACTTATTTCATTTTGTCCTTCATCCCACTCCTAGCTAGACTGTATGCTCAGAGAACTGGGAATATGTCTGCTTCTTTCATTATGTATCAGGTGCCTAGTGGAGTGCTGGCATTTAATAAATAAAAGTTAAATTTAAATTGAGCTGAGTTTGCTGTAATAAGTCAATCAGGCAAGAATGAACAAAAGAATTAACCATAGACCTTTATTATTTAATAATGTTTCAGAAATATTAAAGTTCCTTTCATAATATACTTACTGAACGTATCACTAATTTCTTAAAATCCTAAGTTTGGAAAAAACTATTGCCTTAAAACTAGAGTCCTCTTACTCACCAGTATGATCCATAGAAAAAGTACTGAATGGTTTTTGTCATCCAATTTTAATGAACCCAAACTCTTAGCACTGTACTGCAGGGAGAAGGAACACTGAAATCATGCCTGATTATCACCATTTACATAGTGCCTCACCAGAGGCCCACAGGAAAGGGACTGCTTACTCTAAAGCCCTTAGAAAATGAGAAACAACCCAAGCAGCCAATAAGTCTGGAGTTCTACTTCCAGCTCTACCCTTTGGACACACTCAAGAATTTTTCTTACTGAATTTATCATTCATAACCACTTATCAAATCTCCAATACTGACTTTGTGAAGTCTCTCCCCACACCTGTCACTTAGGACTTTGTCTCTTCTTGTCTTTGCTGACGGGGGCAGACTAACGGGAGAGTGGTGGACAATAAATGGGGACCTGTTTCTGAAAGGGGGATGTTTTAAAGGTATTTTATTTTTTGATATCATTAATGACTGAAAAAGCAAGAATTAAAGCAGAAAGCAAAACAAAAACAAACAAAAAACCCCCAAAACTTGTAACTTAAACTTTTCAGGAAAAAAATGCTATAAATATTAAAAGACTTAAAGAGAACATTTACTTTTAATAATCAGCCCTTATCTTACTGAACGTATCACTAATTTCTTAAAATCCTAAGTTTGGAAAAAACTATTGCCTTAAAACTAGAGTCCTCTTACTCACCAGTATGATCCATAGAAAAAGTACTGAATGGTTTTTGTCATCCAATTTTAATGAACCCAAACTCTTAGCACTGTACTGCAGGGAGAAGGAACACTGAAATCATGCCTGATTATCACCATTTACATAGTGCCTCACCAGAGGCCCACAGGAAAGGGACTGCTTACTCTAAAGCCCTTAGAAAATGAGAAACAACCCAAGCAGCCAATAAGTCTGGAGTTCTACTTCCAGCTCTACCCTTTGGACACACTCAAGAATTTTTCTTGCTGAATTTATCATTCATAACCACTTATCAAATCTCCAATACTGACTTTGTGAAATCCCTCCCCACACCTGTCACTTAGGACTTTGTCTCTTCTTGTCTTTGCTGACGGGGGCAGACTAACGGGAGAGTGGTGGACAATAAACGGGGACCTGTTTCTGAAAGGGAGATGTTTTAAAGGTATTTTATTTTTTGATACCATTAATGACTGAAAAAGCAATAATTAAAGCAGAAAGCAAAACAAAAACAAACAAAAAAACCCCAAAACTTGTAACTTAAACTTTTCAGGAAAAAAAAAAATGCTATAAATATTAAAAGACTTTAAGAGAACATTTACTTTTAATAATCAGCCCTGATATACCTAACCATTACTTTAAACAGAGATATTTTTAAACAGAGAACCTCCCCAATGCCTTTCTGGTGCTCTAAAATCATCTGTCAAATAATGAGACATAGAGGTCTCCTTTCTGGAGTATGTAGTTTTTATAAACTGCATCAGACCCACAGTAGGTGTCTTTTAGAAAATTTCACCAAAACTAAAGAGACGTTCAAAGATAAAATTGCAGCAGAACATCAGAGAAAGAAGATAGAAGAACTGTGCAGTCACAGAATGATAATCTGCAAATTGTCCTTAGTCCTATGCACCTGAATCAAGTCCCACGCCCAAGGGCCGGGAGGACCATGTCAGAGGTTAGCTGTATGACAGCAGAGCTGGGTCCTATCTCCCCTGCAGGGGTCCAAACTGTAACTCGCGCTCCAGCTGCTCTGCAGTCAGGGTGCCCTGGATGGCTTCACAGCCTGGGTTGAACACAGAGTAGGCGCTCTTCTCTCCCTCCTTCTTCTCTTCAGGGCCTCGTGTCCCGACATACATCCAGTAGAACAAGGACAGGACAAAATAAGCCAGGCCAAATTCCAGTTCCACAAACAGTCCCAGTAGGACNGGGAGGACCATGTCAGAGGTTAGCCGTATGACAGCAGAGCTGGGTCCTATCTCCCCTGCAGGGGTCCAAACTGTAACTCGCGCTCCAGCTGCTCTGCAGTCAGGGTGCCCTGGATGGCTTCACAGCCTGGGTTGAACACAGAGTAGGCGCTCTTCTCTCCCTCCTTCTTCTCTTCAGGGCCTCGTGTCCCGACATACATCCAGTAGAACAAGGACAGGACAAAATAAGCCAGGCCAAATTCCAGTTCCACAAACAGTCCCAGTAGGACCAACCAGAGAAGAACCTTCAAGAAGGTGATATTGGTCAGGAAAGACTGATCCCAGCGCGATGGCGGAGGAATGGCCGTATTCTGAGGTGGCTGTGATGTGCTGCTCCCAGGCTGAGCCGCTTCCTAGGATACAAACGCAAACAAAAGAAAGAATAAAGGGTAATGGATCTGAGAGGATAGAAACTAATCTGAAAAGGTAGCTCTCATTGCTCTAGGAAGACTGCGGCTCATTGATTTCTTTTCTTGCCCTACTCTCTGAAACAATCACTTACAAAGAGCTTATATGCCCTGCTCCAACTGAATCAAAACTGATCAGCACTTAGTGAGATGTGTCCCAATAAAAGCATTACAGCATTCAGATGGATTCCCATTCATGGGAGTCATTTCTTCAGGTTAGTCCGCTGTGACAAGAGTTAATATGTGCTCCATACAGAAACTCCCCAGTAAATGAGAATACAACAGCCACAACGTATGCATCCCCGGTCAGAGTCAACATACGTTTGTTGATGTGATCAGATAAGCTAAAACGTTCTGAGTGACATGATTCTAATATGGATAGTATACCACGAACAGGAAACAAAAATCCCTTTCATATATTAAAAAAATCACTGCTGTAGCTATCATTGGGCCCTCTTACCTTCCCATCTCCTGTGACTGTCCTACCCAGGTCCTCGTCGCTCACCCCAAAGCCCATGCTGTATCTCCTAACTAGACTCCCTGCCTCTTATTTCTTCCCTCCCCAAACCATCCTATGTACAACTGCTGAATTTTGGGAAAATGAATGAATGAATGAATTTTACTAAATTCATTCATTTTCTAAACACCCATCACCCTCCTGAATTTTCTAAAACACCCATCACCCTCCTGGCCTACAAACCTTCAAAAAGTTTCCATTGCCTAGAGATTAAAATCCAAACTCCTTGGGGTGGAATCCAAGGCTCTCCATTTATTCAACAGATAGAAATGCCAGAACACAGGCTCCTGTGCTGGATGTTAATGGGAGACACAGGTATTTAGGTAGCTTTACAAAGTTTCACCTCCAGTCTGCTATTTTCCAAACTTTTTTGAGCATGACCTACAATAAGAAATTTTATATTGTGACCCAGAATACACATATGCAACAGAAACAAAAGTTTCACAAGTCAACACTCTCTCTCTCTGAGAAACTCTCTCATATTTCTTATTCTTTTTTTTTTTTTTAATTTTATGGGGGACAAAATCCTCTTATACTGACTTCACCATCTGCTAATGGGTCATAACTTGCGGTTCAAAAAACAATGGTCTAAAAAATCTCCTGTACAACAAAATCCACAATCTATTGCTCCATAAGTGACCCCTCTACTCCAGCTCAACTGGCTTCATTACCCAAAGGCACTTCCCATCTCCATCTGCGGCCTCAAATTGCCTCCTTCTCCTCTCCATCCCTCAACTCACCCTCCCCTTCAGAGCAAGCACCATTCCTGACCTGAGTAGGCCCACACCTCCTCAGCCATCAAGGAGGGCCCCCTCGGCCTCCTAGAGCACCAAACTACTCAGCACCTTAGTGGCTCTCTTTTAATATAGGTTACATGTGTTCTAGATTGTTTATAAGTACCACAAGGCCACAGACTGTCATTGTATCTTTTGGTGTCTCCAGAGCCAAACACAGCATCCCACACATAGGTTCCCAGTACATAGCAGAACTGAAGTTCATCACTTCAGTCATATCCCCTATTATTCCTCACATGAAAATTTAAAAGGAGACCACAAATATTGGTCTTGATAAAAAAAAAACTTGTCATCTGTTTTGTGGTGCTTCAGAAATTCTACCTTGTTAGAACCTTCTTCTTTAGCCTCAATACTGTAATTATTATCTTTTCAGTTAGATTGGAAAGTCTGACTGAAGAGGCCCTTAACATACCAGCAATATCTCCCACCACCATTTATTAAATAAAGAAATATCCCTTTCAGATTTGATTACTGTACACAATACTACTTGCCCAAGAAGAGGAATGTATCAGGGTAGGACGAGTTTGGCTTGTCTGGGAATGGGACAGACTGTGTGACTGCAGTGCCCTGGCTGAGTGGGAGAGTGGTATGAGGTGATGAGGGGAGGAGAGCAGGAGGGTGGGAGCCAGGGCCAGAGCCAGGCAGGCCACAGTAAAGATTCTGGAAATGGGAAACTGCTGAAGGTCTTAGCAAGAAACTAACAATCTAACTTACATTTCAGACCACTCTGGCTGCCACGTAGACAAAGCGCTGCAAGGCAGCAGGAGTAGAAATAGGGAAATTGTTAGTAGCTAATGTAGGAGGCCCAGCAAGAGAGGACCAGACACTGATTAGGGTGGTGACAGAGTCAGAGAGAAATGATGGGCTGATGGACCCAGAATACATTTTGAATGTATATGAATTGAAATTCACAATAAACTGAATTTATTTTATTATGCAGGGAGTATAAAAAGAATAATGCTCTTATGTCACCATTTACTGAGTGCCTTCAAAATGCTTGATCTCCTGTAATCCAGGAGGCAGGCATTATTATTCCCAATATACTGATAAGGAAACACTGAGAGGTTAATTTCCCAAAAGTCAGACAGCTAGTGATAGGCAGAGGTGAATCGGTTTAGGATGCTAGGATGGTCTCCTTCCAAAGCCCTTTTTATTTAATTAGAGGCATTTATGGGAATGGCAGGGGGAAGGGTTAGATAGCCAGAGAAAGAAGAGCTTGTTGGTAGTAAACAAACTGGCAAAGGTAACAAATAAGAAAGGAGGGATGGAAATTTCTCTGCCTCATTTGGTTTTGTTCTAGTATTGGGTTGCCTTCTGCTGTAAAAGTTGTGTGCAGAAGTGTTTGTGGTCATCCCATCACATACAGGCACAGCTGAGGGAAGGCATTTCTACTCCTCAAATACTTTTGCACTGGTAGCTGCTTCTGAGAGGAATGTCTCTTTCCCCTAACATCACTTGACTGGCTCCCTCTTATAAAAACCTCAGCAAAAATGACACCACATGTGCCCTTAGCCTTGTCACCCAGTTTCTGCAAGGGTGGCTCCTTGTTAAATGTCACCTCCTCGGTAAGGCCCTTCCTGCTCACCAGTTTAAAATAGCACTCTGCTCCCCTCACCCTCAAGTCACTATCACAGTGCCCTGGGCTCTGCTTTTCCTTTTGTAGCATTTATCACCTTGTCGTTTTGTTTACTGTCCTCCTTCCCCTGCCACACCAAGCTCAAATGCAAGTTCTATGACAGCAAGCATTTTTGTCCTAATCTAGTAACCAAGCTCAAATGCAAGTTCTATGACAGCAAGCATTTTTGTCCTAATCTAGTAGAAGCTCATCACAGAATTAAGTATTTTATTTGGGGAGACTACCTTTCCCCAAGCAGATTTTAGGGTGGGGTGGGAGGAGGAGGACGTGGATACTTCCTTATCAATGACTACCAAAAAGAATCAATTACAAATAGATGGCTAAAGAAAACACTAACAGGCCACAGTGCGCCATCAAAATTATTAGGTAGAGAAGAATTGTAAATTAGAAAAAAATATTTTAATGAGAATTTTCAAACCAGAGCAAACCCAGAAATGGTAACAGTCAATGAAACAAGCTTAAGGCAGAGTCCCTTATAAAAAGCAGAGCAATTAATAAGAACCAACTGGAGGTAGAGCATTTCTTCTCATCCTTTTGTCAGGCCATCAGCTATGGGGATTTTAATACTGTAATGGAAGCTTTCTCAGAGTTCAACTTCCCTGGGTCCAACTCAGTGACCTCATATTCCTTTGGAAATGAGACATACAGTCAAAAGCTCACTATGTGGGTTAGACATTGTTTTATAACTGCAGGGGGGGGGGAGAGTAGGGGAAATGGATTCTAAGATCTTGCGCAATTGTTGTACTCAGTCAGTTCTAATCAACAGTAAAGTTATCTAAAGACCATTGAAAACTGCACGCAAGGAAATAGATTGTTTGAACCCTGCTGTACTCTCTTTACCTCCTTCTGCAAGTCAGTTGGAACACTGCATATTATGGAGAATATCGAACCCAAATTAAGTAACAATAAGTTCTCCTGATTTTAAAAAAAAAATCTCTCAAACCAGATGTTGTGGAATAATACATAAACTTAAGGGAAATAATTTTAAAGTGAGCAAGTTACACTTTTGCTCCAGTGCATTTTAATTTTTAAAAGGAATTTTGGGCTCTTATTACACTTATGAAGAGCAAAGGCCTTATCACAGACTGTGCAAAGCACTGATTATCCCTTGACAGGTTTTGTCCTGTATTCCCACATGGGACACTCCAATCTCATATGCAAGTCACCTTGCCATTTTACTCATGAGTGAAGACACAAAAGGATCCAAATTAAATTCATCTGCAAAATAAGAGATCACCCAAATAATTAACTTAAGGGCGAAAAGGCTATCAAACTAATCTATATATATTTGCCTTAACCATTAATTATTGAACTAGAGTAAGCTTCTTCAGTCCAACAGTGATGCACATGCATATATATGCCACCCACGGCAATTACAGCTACCACGTTTCTAAGTTTTGTATTCAAACCCCATTTCTAAAGAACAGGCTATCTGGGCTACTGCTGCATGTGCCCCAGGTGCGAATCAAATGAAGCCTTAATTACTGCCACTTTTCATCAGTATCCAATTAGACCTTTTACCCTCCATTAGCAGAGGGCTGTGGCTCAACTTGGCTGTGGAAAAGTTTCCCAAAGTCACAGAGAGTCACAACGATAACTCAACTCGCAGTGAACAATTCAAGGGCAGAGGTGCTTTCTCTCAGGACTCAAGACCATCGCTTCCTGCCTGGGATCAAGAGCTGCGTGGGTCGCGGGCTGGAAAGAAATCGTCAAAGTCACCATATCAGTGCTGACGCAGGTGACAGGAGACTCGCGCTCCAGCCCCAAGGCAGGAGGGAAGCGCCCGCGACCCCGCCCCAGACAGCCAAGGCCACCCCGGGAGCGCGCGGAGGGGGCGTGGCCCGCGCGACACCACGGGGTGCCCGGGACCTTTCCTTGGCCAGAGCGGAGCCAGCAGGTCACCACGCGGTGGGCGGGGCGTCGGCCGGCGTTAGCAGGGAGGCCACGACAGCGGGCGGCGGCTCTGAAGCCAGGTCCTGCGACCAGGCCTCCCTCCTCTCACCTGAGCGAGGCTGGGCTGGGCCCGGGCACTGGCGGGACACGGTTTCCACACTAGGAACCGCTTTAGCCAGCCCGGGCTTGCCTTTGCAGTCGCAGCTGCTTCCGCTTTCTCTCCCGAGGTCTGTGAGCTCGGGCTCCAAGTCGGGGGCTGGGCCTCCGGCCCGGCTCGGTTCCGGGCCTCCCGGAATTGGGCTAACCGCCGTTCCATGGCGCGCGCCCGGCAGCCCGGCCGCCCGCAGGGCCCCTCCCCCGCTTTGCCCCGCGGCGACCGCCGTGCGCATGCGTGGCGCTGGCTGTCTGATGCGCGTGCGCGCTGAGGAGGCGGGGACCAGGCGGCCGGGTGTCCTGTGGGTTTGTGACGTGGTGGGACGTTGTACCTGGAATAGTCCAGTCTTCAAACGCACGTGGACGCAGTGTCCACCTCCTCAAGCTAAATGGTTAAGAACCATAAGGTCGTCCCATTGTTCCTCTCTCTTGCCCCGGGCTCCTCTGAGGGAAGCTCTGCCTTCGCCATCTCCCGACAGGACTCTGTCCCCACCTCTAGCATCCTGCGGCCGTTGAGCGCCACTGGGCACCGGTGATGAGCACCGCATTGAGAAGGCCCGTGATCTCTGGGAGGTTCTGGTGTTAGAAAGAAGACGGGATACGTCCTACCCTTTTCCTCTTATCAGGGTATGCCCGTCTTAGTCCTTGAGGGTGACTTTCTCCCTGCTCACAGAGCAGGCTGTGCAGACCTCTGTCATTGCTCTTGCCACGCCGGACCTTACGTGTTGATGTGTCTAGTTAGGTCACAGACTTTAAAAACAACAAAAACTTTTATTGGGGTGCAGCTTATACACAAATCTTAAATGTACGGCTTCAGTAGATTTGTTATTACGAATGCAGCTGTATAACCACCGCCGAGATAAAGATTTCTAGTACCCTGGGAGCTCTCTTGTCCTCTTTCCCAATCAGTACCACCTCCAAAGGACACAATTCAGGTTAGGGACCGATTTATAGATCTTTAAAGCTCAAAGTAGTTAAACCCCACTCACAGACCCGACTAGTTGTTGGACCGTGCTGAGATTGAGTCAAGAAACTAGACAAACTAGAGTCGAGTCTTTCATTCATTTAACATGTTTATTGAGGGCCTGCTACATGTTGAGTATCGTAGCAGGCACTAGGGATGCCAGAGTGAAGGAAGCAGACCTGTTTTCTTAGAGCTTACATTACAAATGGAAAGACAGACAATAAATACATCACTACATATTTAATGTAATGTCACGTACTGATTAGTGCTATGAAGAAAAGTAACACAAAGTAAGGAATGGGAGTGGTGGAGCTATTTAGAGCCAATGACCAGGGAAGACGCATCTGAAGAGTTGCTATTTGAGCAGAGACCTAAATAAAATAAGTGAGGCATGTAGATATCTGGAGAAGGTTTCAGTCAGAGAAAACAGCAAGTGCAAAGGTCCTGAGCCTTCAAGTAGTATGCTTGACCTGCTCACAGAACATCAGGGAGGCCAGTATGACTAGAACAAGAGGAGGGAGGAAGAGGTGACAGAAAATAAAGAAGCCAAGGGCCAGATCATGTGAAGCCCTGTAGGCCATGGTTTAGACTTTGTCGTGTATTCTAAGTGCAGTGGGAAGCTATGGGAGGATATCGAGCTGTTATTTCTTGCCCACATCTAGCTGGTATACAGAATTAAGACATGGGATTTGCAGGCTGTTGCAATCAGGGTCCCTGGTGGGGAATGTGGCACCTTCAAAAGGGTCAAGTAAGGAGAGTTTAGTGAGGGAGTTTGTTACACGGGTGTGGCGGGACTAAGGGAGCCAGCAAGGGGATGGTTCACAGGAAATGTTACCAGCCTCTAGGCCTAAAGCAGCAGGAGGACTGAGTGGTTATCAGAACACAGTGACACCTGTAGCTATAGGCGAAGCCTGGAGACAAGGGAGCCCTTAAGGGAGCATAGAACGGGTGGAGAATGAGGGAAAGGAGATCAGAAGAGGCAAACAAAATATCCAGCCAAGTGCTAATGTCGTTTCTGCTCTGTTTTGCTTTGGTAACCTTATTTTGCCTTTGCTTTGTTTTCTTTTTTATTATGAATTTATTTTGTCTAGTGCTTTGTAAACCTCTTTAAATCCTTTTTGGAAGGTTGAAAGAATGGAAAAAAGGAAAGATGAAAGGGTGATCATGAAGAATGGCTCCTGCCAAATCAACTTCATTTCCTCTTTGGATAGGATTATGAGACTAGTAAATAAGAAGGTTCCTAAAAATGTACTTAATGTGTGAATTTAATTAATTATTTTATTACAAAAAACTTTGGGCCGGCCCGGTGGCACACTGGATAGTGCGCTCGCTTGGGAAGCGCTGCAGCGCTCCCGTCCGAGGGTTCGGATCCCACGTACAGACCGGCTCCCGATACCCACTATTCAAGAAAAAGAACATTTCTTTCAAAGCCCCCTGTGTTCCTCTGTTTCCATTTCTGACTCCTTCCCATTTCAATCTGTTAATTGGTGAATTACATTAATAGAGTTTCTGTTAATCCATCCTCCATTCCTGGAATAAACAAAACTCAATCTCTTTAAAAAATATGAAATTCAAAGCTCTATTCAGTTTGATAATTTTTTAGGAATTTTGCATCTATGTTCATTAACAAGATTTTCCCATAATTTTATTTCCATGTACTTCCCTCAAAAGGTTTGGGTTTTAGGATTATAGCTTTATGAAATAAATTGAAGCATGCCTCCCCCCCCATTTTTTAGAACAGTTTGAATAAATAGGAATTAGCTGCTTTTTGAATGTTTGATAGGACTTAGTAATAAAACCATCTGGACCTGGTGTTTTCTTGGGTCAGATAAATAAATGTAAGGTACAATTAAGTCGATTCATAGCTGGTCAACTCAACCTTACCCCAAAGGTGTTAAAAAATGGATCAACATCAGTATGTCCTATCTGATATTTTTAGGAGTGTGTTGATGAAAATATAAAAGGCAATTTATGATATATTCAGGTGGCAAAAATTTGGTAGAAAAGATCTATAATTGTGTCTATGGTAAAAAAATAAACAAATGAACTTGATTCCATTTACTATAATTAAAGCATTGTGGAGATGCTCAGAGGGCACTCTCCCTCCTTCTAGATTTGCATTCATAATTTGTGTATCTTTGTTTTGTTTCTTAATCACTAGCTTGAGAACAATTTTTTTCCAATAGGACTTGGAGCTTTTCCCTGACCACAGACTGGGTAGGAGGAGGGGTATATGGTCGATGTTTTAGCTGCTACAATGAATCCCATTGTCATAGTGAGAAAGGATCTTATGGTCTCTTCAATCCTATCTCTGCAGGTTCCATGTGTCAAGTTCTGAACATTGTGCTTTATGTGACGAATCATAGAATGTCCAGGGGAAGTGGCCAGGATAATTATGTCTCTAGAGCGGCATTTCTCAGCCTCAGCACTTTTTAAAAAAATTAAAAAAAAATTTTTTAAAAATTTTTTATTTTTTTTCCTTTTTGTCTTTTTTACTGACCGGTGACGGGATCACAACCCTCGGTGTCGCGCCCGTACTGGGGACCGGCAACAGGATCGCAACCCTCGGTGTTGTGCCCGCATCACGCTCAGCCAGTGAGCGGGAACCGGTCTCTACATGGGATCCGAACCCTCGGCGGGAGCGCCACCGCAGTCCCAAGTGGCGCACTATCCAGTGCGCCACCAGGCCGGCCCAGCCTCAGCACTTTTGACATTTGGGGCCAGATGATTCTTTGCTGTGAAGGCTGTCCTGTGTCTTGCAGGATTCTTAGCAGCATCCATGGCCACCACCCAGTAGTTGCCAGTAGCACTGCCCCCTAGTTGTAACAACCAAAATTGTCTCCAGACAGTGCCAAACGTCTCCTGGGAGACATATTTGCCCTTGGTTGAGAACCACTGGTCTAGAGACCATATGGTAGTAAGAATGATAAATGCAGTGGATAATTTGGGCCAGAGAAGAGTCACAGTGAAAACATACCAGTTTGTTTGGGAAACTCTATTAGAAGTGCTGCTGTGAATGGGGGAGGAGAATCATTCTGTGGGGCTCCAAGGGACAAAACTGAGTTGGAAATTACAAGGTGACAAATATGTAATCCAAAAAAAAAAAAAAAGGATTTTTTTTCGGCATCTCATTTATTCCAGCACCATAATGTGCTGCCTTACAGAGCAGTGAGTTCCCTGACATTAGCAGGATTTAAGCAGAGGCAGACTAACCCATGGGGATGTTGTAGAGGGGATTTCAGAGCTGAAGAGAGATTTGGTTAACCTAGATGATTACTAAATCCCTTCCAACTGGAGAACTTTATATTTCCATCCAAGTAGAGTAATCTAGGAGGACAGAATGGAAGACTGGGGCATCAGGCTAGGGATGTGGTGCATAAGTTGTGGGTGCCACTGCCCAATCACCCCAGATCTCACTATTGCTGGACATGCTGATGGCTTGTTTCTGCAAGCACCTGGGGGCTTTCTCTCCTGCAGGATTGTGTTCAACTAGTACATGAAGCAGACTAATACTGTGGGGGATTATTCCTCCTCACCCCTGAAATAGCCTTCAACCAAATTTGCATGGGAATTGCTGGATAAATACCCCAGCTCCCTCACTTCTCATGAGCCTCAGTTACCCACAGCAGTATTTGATCATTAACACACCCTATACCACCTCTCTTCCCTTTTCTATCTCACTTCCATGCTACCCTGTCAGTGCTCCCTGGAATCACTTCCCCGGTAAACCTCTTGCATTACAATTTTTATCTCAGGATCTTTTCCCGAGAGAATCTAAGCTAAGAGGTATGCAAGAGCTAGGCAAGGCCTATGGCCGTGCTTGCAGAAAGGGAAGTAAACTAGGGGTTGGTTGGTATTTCACACTTACAGGACCCCTATTTTAAAGTTTGAAGCAAGCAAAACAGGGCTTTAGACTGTAACTGTCCCAGGAGAAGAATATTGGAGAGAGTAATAAAGAAGCTAAGAGAAAGGAAGGGAATGGGAGGGCCACAGAGCTTCACCTGAGGCAGCCTGTTCAGGATTGCTTCTGGGAAGGTGATTTGGTCCACACTTTATGTTGAGCTGTGTGGAGGTCAGAGCCCTAGAATGACTGATCCATTCATTCTATGATTCTGTTTTCCAAGGACTTTAGAGACTAATTAGTCAGCAAATGTTGATCAAACATCTGCTATATGCCAGGCCTTGGGCCAAACCATGAG